AAAAAAAAAAAAAAAAAAAAATGTTGAAAACACCTCCCATTTTATGGGGCCATTTTTTCATATATATTGCTACGCGGCTGAGGGGCTCCGAAAAAAAAAAAAAAAACTAGCACTATAACAGGACCCCTTGCGTCCCCCACTGGTCGTATGTTCAACCGGCCTGTCCCAACGATCCCCCAAAAAATAAAAGTTGGACGAAATGCTCGTTTTGGGTAGTCATTTGGCATATATATACAAATTGGGGGCCTCAAATTTACCTCTCCTTCCATCAAGTCACAGTTGTGTCAAGTACATTTGGTGGAACGGTCCGTTAGTATGTCGTTCTATGTGTGTGACGCTAAGCTGTGTTTGCGGCGGCGCCCCACACAACTGGGGGGAGTAACGCTACAAGTGGGGTTTGACCTGCGCCCGTAGTGTGAGTACACCCTGCTTTTTTATGTCTCCCCCCCCAAAAGGGGCATCCTTGCTTGTGCACATTTTTTCCTGCAGTGATGGAGTAGTTTTCCCATCGGTTAATTGGAACTGTTGAAGGGGCATTTCTTCCAAGCGGGCTGCTGTTCGCGAAGTATGCAGCTAGCTAAAATGTAGCGAATTTTTTTTTTTTTTTTATTTGTAGCTAGCTATTTTAAAAAGTGCGAATAAAAAAATGTGTATGACGTTTTGGGATTGATCTGTGGGGGTGTAACACCTACAGGTGAGCGCGCATGTAGGTACGTACACATGGTGACACACAAAATGAGGGCACATTTTCCGTTGAGAGGAAAGGGCCTCTTAAACATGGAGAAGCACACTTTATCGCAACATTTTTGAATGTCGTTAAATTATGTGGCATTTTTTTGTCAAATAGGCGCTCAATACGTTATTTTATGTTTTTTTTTGTATTTTTATTTATTTTATTCTTGTCTGTCCTGGTACATGCAGTATACCATTCTGCATGATATTTCCCCCCACTTGTTATCTCAATCGCGTGAACACTGCTCTGTAAGGAAATAGGGAAAAAAATATGTCCCATCGAGTTGTGCACAATTTGAGTTTGTTTTACGTCGTGCAATCGCACCGTTTGTATGCTGCGCAGAGGTTGCAAAGGCAGATTCGATCTCGTGACAGGCAAAGCGCAGACATTTTTTCATCAAAGGGAAAAACAGCAAGGTACACGTTGTATACGTGTGCATGGTCGCGTAAGTATAAGCATACGTACGCGTGGGCATAAGCACAACTGCAGGAGAGACACAACCCCTTAGACGTACCACACAGCCGTCGAAATGGAAGGCAAGAAGTACGACATCCTGCTGCTTGGCAGCACGGGCTACACGGGCCAAATGGTATTAGAATATTTTTTGAAAAACTACCAAAGGGAGATCTCCAGTGGGGACTTAAAACTCCTGTGTGGTGTCAGAAGTACAGAAAAGTTTAGCAACATTTTGTTAAGAATGCAACAAAAGGATGGTGTCACGTGTAGTGAAATGATTGACACGAAACAATGCGATGTGTGTAACTACGATTCCATTTTAAGTTGTTGCAATATGTGCAGAGTGGTCATCAGCACCGTGGGTCCATATGCAATATACGGGTATAATATTGTTAAGGCATGTGTTGCAGGAAACTGCCACTACGTAGATGTGTGTGGTGAGCACACGTTCATGTTGAACATATACAAGGAATTCAACGAGATTGCGAAGAAGAAAAAGCTAAAAATTATTCACAGCGCCTCTTTCATTTCAGCCATTAGCGATTTGGGAACATTTATAATTCAAGAGGAGTTTTTAAAAAGGTACAAACAGCCATGTCCATATATTCGAATAAGACTCTCTGCGGAAGGCAGTGAGTTTAGAACGGTGGGGAAAACGACCATAAAAAGTTTTTTACAATTCAAAAAGGACGTTAAAAATGCCTACAATGAACATTACTTGTGTGAAAGTAAACATGACAAAGTGGTGAATGATGAGGCGAGTTGTTATTTACTAGAAAAGGAAAAAAAAGAAAAATCATTTTTCGACTATGAGGAAGAATTTGGATATTGTTTTGGTACAAATTATTCGAGAGCAGAAGAAGCCTACGTTTTGTGGTCAAATTATTTGCTTAATTATAGGTATGGGAAAAATTTGATTGTGAGTTATCAGCATTATGACGCACACTTGACGACCCCCATGTACGTTTTGAGGAAAATTTTTTCTACTGTGAAGAATTTGTTTAGTAGCGTGGTGGCGCTTGCGCTGAGGCCGTTCGGCTTGGGAAATTATTTGGCGAACAAGTACGTGGACTGGTTGCACAAGCCGAAGACAGCGGCCGAGTTGAGGAAGGCCTTTTGGTCTTGCGCTGTGGTTGGGCAATCCTGCGTGGGGGTAAGCAGTTCTTCGGAGGGTGCCCAACCGGATAGCAGCAACCAGGAGCGGAAGATCTTCCTCCACTTGAGCGGAAAGAATGAAGACCCGGGATATCTCCTAAGCGCCAAAATTATTTCGGAATCGGGGCTGTCATTATTGAAGTCTACTACGTTACCCGACACCTTTGGAGTCGTTTCCGTGTCCGTTGGCCTCGGCCAAGTGGTAGTGGAGCGGCTTCGAAAGGCCTCGCTCGACATGCGCATTGAGGTGTGAACAGGGGTCAGGTGTGCAAACCATTTGTGCACATTAGGGTGGGGAGCAGTAAAAAGCCGGGGGGTGGCCACCCTCCCAGTCATGTGTAATCATTAGGCCACACAATTTGTACGTCCCTACCGTTTGCCTTAACCTGCATTTTGCTTTGCCCGTTTTTAAGCAAATCGAAGTGTTTTTTTTTTTGTAAAAATATGGCAAAATGTGAATTGTTTCGCTGTGCGCATAATAAAGTGCCCCTTTTTTTTTTTTTTTTTTTTCCTCCTCCCCAAAATGGATACATAAATAATGTTGTTGTGGCCGAGAATTTGCCTTTTTAGATTTGTTTGTTTTTATGGAGAGCCATTTTGCCGCATTCCGGATTGGGTCAACCGAATAGTCCTATCGCAAAATGGCAATCGAGAATTCTCCTCTCCCTTTTAATTTGTTTCCTTTCATTTGATGAATTAAAAAATGTAATAAAAATGTTTAACGGGCAGCTTGTTAAAAATGGGCGAAAAGGAAAAAAAAAAAAAAAATAATAAAATGTGCGTCACTTGTGTTGTTATCCTGTCAGGTATGCTTTTCACCACGGAGTAGAATAGAATCAGTGGGTTGGTGCAAGCGTTTTAAGCAAACGAGTGAACCCTGTCATTTGCATTATTACGGTGTATAAGGTTCGTGTAATTTTTTTTTTGGTCAATTGGGTCACCAATAGCGCTGCGCTCGCATAGGCTTTTTTTTTTTTTTAAATGGGAAATCCCAAGGAGTAAAAGAAGCTCGCACAGATGGTACAAAGCCGATCTACAGGTGCACTCGAGGTAATGCAAAATTGCTAACGCGGTATGCTTGCCTTGCTGGAGGGAATTTCTTCCATAAAATGGCACTCCGTCCCCCCCGCCCTCTTTTTGTAGGTGGCGCAACCGAATACGGAAAATGTTGGGAAGCGCTAAAACAAAACCCGTAAGAAGGAAATCCATTACGCGTATTGCAATGAAAAAAACGGCGCAAAAAAAAAACAAAATATCCTTAACTAGAGGGAAGGGAAAACCCCGTTTGGCTTTTCAGCCTATGAAAATTTCTTTTTTTTTTTCTTTTTATATTTTTTTCTCCTTTTTTTTTTTTTCTGCATTGGAACTTGTAAGCAAAGTAAAAAAAAAAATAAAATAAATAAACTTCAACATTGCGTAACATTCCACATTTGTTAAAAAGCTCTATGCGGAAATCTTGACCATTACAGTGACGATTACTTTCTTTACAAGTGAAGCAACTGCTACTACTTACCTCAGCCTGACAGAAGGATCGCAGTTTACTCCAAAAAGGAGATACACGATTTTAAGATAAGAGGATCGCCAATTTAAAGAAAAAATGGGTAAGCATATATTTTATTTTTCATCAAGGTGAATGTAGCCTTTTGTTGCGTGCCAACGACTGAGCACAAAAATGCATTGCGGCGATGTACCAGTGTGACCTAAACACGTACGCGGAGAGGAGAGATGCTCGTATGTGCATTGTGCTTGGTTAATTTAATGAGCGTTATGTTAATCAACGTTAAGCAGCTTCGTAATTGGAGGGCGGCATGTTCTGCCATGTGTGGGAAAGCAGGCCTCCTTGACGATTTAATCCCCTCCCCGTATATATGCTTGTATTGTGGCCCCGTCTGTGGTTTATCCCGATGGAGTTGACTAAAATAAGAATTGGGTTCAACGATTGGCCATTTTTTTCATCCCCGTTATGTGAAATGTGCATACGTTTGTGCCTCTTCTGCAAAGCTTCCTTTTTCGATTTTGTAAAGTGTCATTTTTTACAAAACTGGCGGAACGGGGTGTTACCACTGCGTCCTCCCCACGCATACGTTGTGCCGTGAAGAAGATCATGTTACACATCTTCACCCTATTTTGAATCGTCCCTCCCTTAGGAAAGGTACACGGATCATTAGCTCGTGCGGGAAAGGTCAAAAACCAGACGCCCAAGGTTCCCAAGGTGTCCAAGAGGAAAAAGTTGACAGGAAGGGCAAAGAAGAGACAATTATATAACAGGAGATTTTCAGACGGAACGGGAAGAAAGAAGGGACCCAATTCGAAATTGTAAAAGTGTCTGGCAGTTCGTATGACGTACGCTAGTCATTCTTTGTAATTCGTTGGAGGGTTATTGTTGCCGTTTTGTTACTATTAAGGAAAATGTTTTTTTTTTTTTTTTTTTTTTTTTTTTTCCTCCACTGAAAATTTGAGCTAACAGGAGGATAGCTTTTCCGCATTGGATATATAGTCCATTTAGGGGGAAATGTTATCGTATATTTTTTATTTTTCATTTTTCATTTTTTTAACACATTTTTGCATTTCCGGAGAGGAATCAGTTCGGAATGGGCGTCTGAGGAGACGTCGTAATGGATACCCGAACAGAGAAACGAACTAAGGAATAAAACTTGAACATGATTTTTACGAAACATTGTGTATCATCCCTCACGTGAGGAAAAAAAACGAATGAGTTGTCATTTCGCGGTTAAGCTATGGTTACACATGGGCTACATAAACAGAAAAAAAAAAAAGGGGGAGAATTGTTATACACATATAGTGTAGCTTAACATATGTATGCAGCGAGTGTTGCCCTTTTTGTTTGTTCGAGGAAAAGGGGATTGTCTCAGTTTTGCAATTCTTTTCTTTTTTTTTCCATTTTGAGCAAATTGATGCGCTCGCGTTCCTTGGCTTGGTCCACTTCGCTGGTCCTGTTCGTTTCGTTCGCGTTGTTATAAAAGTGCAACGCCAGGACGGCGGCAAGGAGAATGTAAAAATTGATGGAGAAGAAGGTGATGTTTTTTTCAAAGGCTAGAAAGCTCCCCATGTCACCATTGTGTTCATTTGTTTTTTTTTCCGAGTTGTGTTTGGTTTGGTGAGTTGCCTCTTGTTTGGGTGCTACTCTTTCGTCGTGTTCATTTCTGCTTGCAGAGTAGCAGCAGCGGCTATGCGACGAACCGCCAGCAAAATAGGTGGACTTGAAGTGGGTAGCTTTTCTTAAAAAAATGGTTGTTCCTGGGGTTTTTACTTTGGGCACGCGCCTCATGATGATCATGTTGGTGTGTTGCGGTGCTGGGGGCTAAAAATGGCGCTGCGTGTTTTCTCCTTTTTTTGCGTTTTCTGTATTTTGCAATTTGTGTGAAGCGGTTATTCCCACTTGGGCGCTTCTCCTTTACGTGTGTGCCTCTCTTTTAACTACGGCGAACGGACCAAGTGCATGCAGGTGTGAACGGGAGGCGCCAAATTGCGTGTACATCTTGGGGAGGACAATGACCCACTTTTGTATGTAATTCCTGGGTCGTGGTAGTGTACGTACTCTGCGTAAGCTTCGAACGGTAGGTTACTAAATTGTGGGAGAAAAAAAAAACTTTCCACCACAGGCACTTTACATTTTCTTAACTAAATGATTACTTTTGATGGGGACTAATAAAAAAAAAAAAAAA